TGTATCAATGAGAGTCTTGTCTATATAACTGTCAACGCACACAAAAAGATCTCTAAGATTAAAAAAGGTATTCAACAAATACTGGCATGATCGCAAAATTGTTCTTGATTCGCCCCACACCACTCTAATTGAACTATTTCTCATTTGCTCTGTTTCTGATGTGTGATATATAGAGTATTTAGAAAAAAAACGTAGTTATGTTGAACGTCAGCAACAGATCAGTTCGAAACGGTAAAACAGAAATATTACCGATCTTATTTTAATGGTGTTCTTCCAGTAGAACATGAAAAGTCATTCCTCATCCGATATGTTTGCCACTTTGGAGTAGAAAAGTGTTTTGAAACTATTTAAATAAAATACTTTTTATTAGTATAGCACGTAAGGATGCGCGCATTATTTTTGTTGCATATACAGTCGTGCGGGGTATTTTTAACCCGTAAACATTTAGTGCTCAAAAACTGCATTATGTAATTTTAATATAATTTTTTTAAACCCCATTCTTGTTTCAATAATGATTACAGTTTATTTTGAAAGAACTTATAACTGACACATGCCTACATGTAATTCAAGAAATCGCAGGACATAACACGGATGACGAGAAGAAGAAATATATGGCATACTCCATCCACTAAGGGGCAAATACCAGATATTAAATTCGTTCATTAAGTCGAAAAGATGTAAACCTGAGTGTGGTTTTTTCGGATTTTAGCGGTTTAAGTCTTTTTATTGTCGGTACACTGAAATCGGTACAGATAAAATTAGATGTTTCTTTGACATAGTGAATAGATGCTATGTGCTAACTCATTATATCATTTTCAAACCTCAAAAAAATGTTTGAAATTTTTCGGTGTCGACTTAAACCGAACATCGGTTTTTCGCGTCGATTCTTCAGTTTCAAAACCGAAAGCGGTGCATACCTAATTCAAATCGGGGTAATTATTACGTCATGAACTTTAAGTAAAGGTATGATAGAGGCGGAAAAAGGATTAAAGGATACTAAACACTTGAATAAATAATTCAACGTACTTTCTCATGACATATTCTAACCTCTGGGTAATTTTTACCCTAGCGCACGTCCTTACGGGTTAGAGATATTGAAGTTGATCGTACATATCTAAGATACAATCTTTTTATCCATTAAACTTCTACAATTCAAAACTTTTATTGATAATATTGAGTTTCTCTATTATTACGGCGAAACACGACAAGATCTATGTAGACCTTGTTTTAAGCGTCCTCCCTCAGAAATGATGATCCTCGGACAAAAATCCATTCTGTGATAAGCACATGGAAAGATAGCCTGAAGGATCTACTTTCCGAGTCTATATCGCTTTCGTTTACAAAAGTGATTTTTTGCGGCTTCTGAGCAAGTTTTCTAGGGGCTCCGAAAAACCTGATCTTCAAATAATAGTTTTTTTTCTGGATACTTTATGGAACTAAATTTTTTTCTCAACGCGTAGATTGTAGAGCAAACTTTTCTGCTCAAAATAAGACGTCGCACAACTCTGTATAACCTTGCATTAAAACGTTACAGGCATTTTCCTGAAAGCCCTAAAATTGATCATTTTATACAGCGTTTAATACAGCGTTTTCTCTACATGTGAGTTACACCTGAAGTATTTAATATACTTCAAGTTAGAGAGTTTGGGTTTGTTTTATTTTAAACTAGACACCTAGCTACATGGGCTGATCGGTGCCGATTTTTCAATTAGGTCTTAGTTTTTTGTCCTAATTGAAAAATTGACGCTAGTCAGTCCATATAGCTAGGTGTCTAGGTTAAAATAAAATAAACCTGAATTCTCTAGCTTGAAGTATATTAAAAGATTTTGGGAAATACTTCGGGATCCTTTTTGAACCTTGATCTCTGGAAAACTCCTAAGCCGTAAGACTTGGAGACAAAAAAATGTTTTCATTCCCGTAACTCATTGTGCTGACATTTATGAAATATTTCGTCAAGATCAAAAGTACGGTGTCGGAGATAATTTCTGAGGAGGGGGGCCCTTAAATACAAATAAAAGCGATAAAATCCAATTGAAAACTTGATTAGATCAGTTATCGAAAACATTTTCTTTTAGAAAAGAAAGCTTCAAATGGTCTAATTTAGACATCATGTTTGACTAGAACAGGTGTACGATTTTGTGATAAAGTATAATTCAGTCATGATTTTATCATGACTAATAATATATAGAAGTACCAGATTTAGAACGTTTTCCACAATCTAACTTAAAATATAATGATGTCATGTTTCTAATAATTTTGGCCACTGATATTTTTTATTGAGCATAAATTCTCATACATATTAAAAATGATAATACAGATGACAAAACTGATGAGAGATAACAACAAAAACATGAAATAGTGCAAATTGAAAATAAATTACCTCATTGTTCTAAATAAATTTAATAATCAGTATAAAAACATGAAGTTATTTTCTTATTGTTATGAGACAAACTAAGTCTAATTAACTCGATCGCTATCGTCGTAAGTTCGATTCCTGAACGAATAGCCAAACTGACAATGGAAAGATTAATTGAAGAGTAGAGAAATAATATTTTTGTCGGTGAGAATGTGGTCAGCAAAAAAAAAAAGAGAGCAAAATGTTTATATTAAAATACAACTTGATTTCGATTTATACATTCTTGATAAGCTGACATTCAAATTTAAATTTTATCAAAGGACGTTCCATGAGGCATGAATAGAGAGAAGAAGCAAAGCAAAAAAAAAAATTTTTTTGATATAATTTTAATACTACTTTTCTCTTCATACAACAAGAAAATGCATTACCCTATGCCATAGATTTATCATATCATCCAAACCCTATATAAACTCGTTTACACAATATAGAGAAATAGTTTCCGCTGTTCTGTATGTCTTTTTTTCTGAAATAAGAACAATATCTTTCTCGTCTTAAACAAAGAAAATCGAGAGTGTAGCGTACGTAATTGCAAAGTTATAATTACGAAATATTATCGTCGTAATTTAACGTTTTTGTGCGTTAGATGTTTCTGATTAGTTTAAATTATCTACAATTATAAATGAATATTTAATTTTCTACGTATGTATACCGAATAATCATTTCTATCTTCATGTTTTTATTTAAATATTTTTTGTATAATCATTAGACATAAATTTGTGTTCAAATGATTACTTAAATCGTCATTCAAATGCTTATTTTTTGAAATGGATAACAAAACACTATTGATAAATTTAATGCTATCTTTATTAGTCACTGTCAAAGGTGGACCAATTGAAGATTTAGCAAAGATGCCAGATCTGTATCAGGTACAATGAAGAAAAAATCGTTTGTTTTTTGAAATAGTTCAATCAATGTTCGGTTCTCTTTTCATTCTTCAGTTTTATCAGCAAGTTATTCGTCAGCCAGAATTGAAAATGATTTTGCAAGGAACTGGTAAGTATAGTGGTGGTGACTTAACTATATTTGCACCTACAAACGATGCCATGTCAAGACTGGGTATTAAAAGTGAAGATCCGAACATTTTGTGGAAATATCACATTGTTGCTGGTCGCTATAGTGATCAAACGCTATTCAATATGGCAACAGAAAAATTTAATCAAGGAACATCAAAACAATTATCTGATCAGAGACTACAGAATAATTTGCCCACAATGGCATTACCATTTCAAGTAGATTATCTTAAATATCTCTTCTATGTATGAATTTTATTTCATTATATTTTAAGGTATTTTATGGTACAGGATTTTACGGTGGTTCAGGTCCCCATTTAGATAACAAGACAAATGTGGGTTACGCAAGTCGTGGAATTAGTTGGTTAACACATTCAGCATTCAATCAATCAAATTATAAAAATAATAATCCAAACTATATGTACAATACTCCTCAAGTGCGTAATTGGAATAATCCAATAAATTATAATCGAAATTATGTTGTTGCTCAAGGTCCGCGTGCATCAAATAATCGAAATTTATTTCCGCCTAATTTAATGAATTATTATACGAATGTTTTCAACCCAAATACAAATGCTCAATTACAAAATACTTACGTTGGCGGCGGACCGATGATGAATAAGAATTACAATCCAGTAGTACAAGCGGGAATCGGAGTACAAGTAATCACAAGATAATGTCTAAACTTTATCACTTTTCACATTTCTCCTACTAATTGTCCTCAAATGTAGTTAGTATAGCGTCAAACTTTCAATTTCAGAAGCCAACAATCAATAATGCGTTTATTCTTCAAACGAGAGGAATGAGTCGCGGAGTGATAAATGTTATTGATGCTATTTTATGGCCACCGGAACGTCGTGATCAGACTCAATATAAAACAGCCTACGATATTCTTGAAGATAATACATTTTCGTAAGTTCTAAAATGTTCGATCTATTTTGTACTCCTATGCTTAGTTATTTAGTAAACTACGAGAACTAGTTGCACGTAATAATTATTTACAAGCTGAATTACGTTCACAATATCATCAAACATGGTTTTTGCCCACAAATCAAGCGTTTCAAAGTAGTGGTAGTAGTTTAAATTATTTTTTTGATCCAGCATTTATGAACACGACACAGGACGTTGTGAATGTATGTATCAATGACTAAACAGGATAGAAAAGGATAAATTGAAATCAATTTTCAGTCTTTTCCAGTTTTTGAAAGCGCATACATTGCCATTAGTCGTATTTCCAAGTAATATGGATAGCACGAAACAATTGATGACATTAAACGGTGGAAAATTGGTGACATTTCGCAAAGTAAAACAGCCAGATGGAACATTTCAGTGTATGTACATACAAAACCTGTGCAAAAATCAATGTATACATTTTAGTTATTCTTCTTTTCAAGTTGATGTGGTAGCTGATCGGCAGGTATCTCGAATTCTTTCATCACGACCAGAAGATATCAAATTTTACGGAAATGGACTGGTTTTTCCCATAAATAACGTTTTAGGTGGTCCAGCTCGAACAGCAGCAGATGAATTAGCAAGAAGCTACCAGTAAAATCATTTTACTTATAATTTAGTGAGCATCGTACACCTTTAAAGTGTCAACGTATTTCAGATATTTTATGGCACTGGTTCAGCAGTCCGGAGACACAGAATTAATGAATTTGCTACAGGGTTCGCCAGCTGGCTTAGGAAATACTCCAACATCTTTTAATCCATATAATCAATTGAATATTACTATACTTATACCTCAGCAAATGTCTATCAGCCAACTGGGCAAGTCTCAAGAACTTTCAACGGTTCGTAGAGCATCGATACATTACATTCAAATTATTTTTTGACTTCTCTTCGTAGAATTTACGCCGTCACATACTAAGACTACCAGTTTACGTTGAACAGATACCAACGAACTATCAAGCAGATCAATTTTTCAACCAAATGCAACAACAACAACAACAACAACAATTTATAAATAATCCGTTTCGATCAGGACAAATTTCAGATAGAAAAAATTATCTATCTAAGAGAAAGAGACGTCAGATACTAGTTAATCCGAACATAAATCGGCAATTTCAACAACCTGGTTTTCCTCGTCAAGAACAACAACAAGGATTTATTCAAAATATACCACCACAAAACTATCCACAAATACATGGCCAGCAATTCTTTTCCCAGCAGCCAAACAATTATCGTCAACAAGAACAACAACAGTTGCAATCGTTTCAGCTGAATGATGAAAATCTGCATCAACAATATCCAATGTATTCATCTCCCATCATATTTCAGGATGGACAAACGTATCAAACATATGATCCAAGTTTTAGTATTCAAGCTCAAGTTAGCAATGGGCCACATGGAAATAGTATGTTTTCAACTGAAGGAAGAAATTCAGTTACTGATATTTTTTTAATTTCACTAATACAGTTGTAACGTTAACTGGAAGATCGTCGTCAAACTCTGCTCCTTTTCAAGCAACAATTCTCAACTCAGAATCAAATCTACCAGTTCGAAATGGTGTAATGCACATCATCAGGGGCCTATTATCGGGCACCGTTACTTCCATGGACACCGTCTTAAACCAGTTGCAAGGAGTAAGGTATGAACATTCAACATCTGATTAAGGACATTCCTCTTCTCTGAATCAAAAATTTTCGATTTGGAGTTTCTTATTCTTTCAGGTATATGCTTTTCGATGGATACAGTTTCCTCTTTGTGATATAAAAAGAAAGTCTTAGGAGGCTTTTTACAGAATGTTAAATCAAATTTTTCGGTTTTTCCTTATTTTTGTACTGAATTATCCACATATCGATGGTATAAACTAATCTAACTATAGGTTATCGCCCATCCTGAGTCTAATGTTCATGTGCTGAAACATTACGGAATCTCAAAAATATATATAGGAACTGTCGTATGCTAACGTATAGCTGTTGATCTGGGCGAAAAAACCTCATATGTAAACGCATCAACCGCACAGGATTCTAAGAATCAACACAGTCGATAGCCTAGGATACATATCATTAGACATAGAAAAAATATATAACGCAGTTATAAAAAATCTAATTTTGTTTCGCGTTTTTCTACGAACTACTTTTTTGCAAGACTCACATGAGCAGAAGAAGCTCGCCAAGAAGACAAAAACGTTTATCATAGCAACAATTTGTCTTACAACGGGACAAGTCGTTTTGCTTCTCAAAAATGTTATTTCCTTCTCAGATAAAAAATGATAACGTAAATGAAGTATATTAAAAAAATGCGCTATCTTTGTATACTATTTCGTGTTTTTGACATTTTGACCAAACTAAGATTAAATTTTGAAAGGCAAAAGAAAACGTGCCGAGTTGTAGATGAATTTTAGCTGTGGTAAAAATTTCCCCTTTGATATCGATCAACTCCTTCTGGTCGAAACTGTAGAGAGTAGAATAGGCGTTTTTATCCACTGTGATCTCTATAAAAACAAAAGCAAACATTCTAAAGACAATTCAGGTACAACTTTGCATAGCTCATCAGGATCTATTAATGTTGAAAAAATTTTGGCTCCGCAATATTCTTTAGAATCTTGAAAAGTCAGAAGAGCTTTTAAGCATAATCGATCTATCTATCTAACAAATATTACTCGTTTGTAGTTTATTTAATCAATTTTTACAACAAACAAATATTATCAATGAATTGAAAAACTCTGGAAGATCTTATACATTGTTTATGCCAACTAATGGAGCTTTAACACAAATTGGTGTCACAGCAAATACAAATAAATTGCGACAAGTATGATATAAGAAGCGAAAGCATTGTGAAGTTATATCATCATTGTGTTTAAGTTTGTTCAACGACATATATGTGCTGATACTTTACTCGATCCGTTAGGAAACAATATTGCAAGAAAATCTGAAGGATTTTATAGCGGACAACGACAACAATACAGACCTCCATTGATGATGCAACAACAACCGTCAAAAGAGGAAATACAATATTTACAACGTCTGTCGCAAGCATCACCAATCTCTCTAAAACCACGGCGTCATGCTGTTTACATGAAAAAACGTAAACGACGACAGGACCATGCTTGGTTTCAAGCATTGCAGGGCGGTAAAAAGTGGTCTGAGAGACTTCAAGTAGGCTCACACGCAGGTTTCATTTCCCAAATAAGAAATGCAAGTTATCGACGACCTATAGGTGGACGTCCTGATCTTGGTCCTGCTTATTTTCAACCTGATCAACAAGTCCATGGTGGTTACCCAGCTGCACCCTCCTCTTATGCAGGAAATAATCAGCTGTACAATCCAGGTTGTTACCATTCAGTATTTGATCTAAGTGGCATTTATAAGACATAAATCATTTCTTATTTTTAGCCTATACACGTGGAGGCTATGGGCAACCCAATTCACAATATCCACCCTATAATAGTAATTATTATAGAAAGATTAATTATCCATACAATCAAGGACAATACTGGAATAATGGCACGATGAATATACAATCCAACCAACCAAATCCAGGCAAAAATTATAATAAAACTGTTGTTAGTGGACCAAGTATCTACAATACTGGTTATCAATTTTATGGTGCTCCACAATCGTGTCGAGCACTTAGTGGTGATCAGATAACTGTACGACAAGTACAAGGTGCATCACAATCACAAGGAAGTAAGTGTCTCAATCCTTTGCCATCAAGATACCTAATTTTGTTTTTATATCCTAGTGAATAACCAAGGAATGGTGTATCAAAATGAGTCTATTACACATATTTGAAAAATATAGGATGTCTTGATGGAGAATAAAAAAGATATGCTATTCTCATTTCTATCCCTGTCGATCCTCTCAGAAACTATGTCTGCTGGATTTTTAAATGGTAGTAGAAGCTAAAATCTTCTTCTATTTGTTTTTTTCAATCGTACTAATTTATTATTTGAATCATTTTTTTTACTAGGTTATATGGTGACATGTTGTGGTGATATATCTATAAGTGCCATGGTACAATCGTTCAATATCTATCCTCCTGGTTATGCTGTATACACGATTGGAAAAGCTTTACTTTCATATGGCCAAACAGTTAATAATTTATATAGCGATGCCATACGTGTATACTCTTACAATTATTTTCTCTTACTATTTACAATATTGTTTGTATCCACAATTAAACATACTGAAAAAATATTATAGATACCCCTAAAGTATCTAGAATAAAGCTTTAAACATTATGAAATCAGTCCTATAAGTTATTGTTCTATGTTTCTTTTTCAAAATTCATCAAGTTTCCGTTGAAATGTATGCAATTGATTATTCACTTTTTATTTCTTTTTCTACTCATCTAAAACAAACGTTAACATGCTTGCAATATTCGTCAACAACTAATTCTACTTGATAACCGACTTTTTCAATACTACTTTTCTTAATTGCTTACGTTTTTTCTGTGCTTCATGTCAAGATATGTATGTGATTTGAATATCTACAAATGAACAAGTTGTGAATAGAGAATGTGGTTTTGTTTCTTGTTTCGACTTTGTTGTAAATTATTTTATATCTTATTTTTTGTGTATCTCTTTATGTTATTGTCTGCCGGGAATGTTTCTTCTATAATATCCATAGGGACTCATATTGCTGGCAATAATGAGAGCCACCCATGGGCTGCCGGTACCCAACCTGTCTTGTTTCCAGACCAGCCACCTGTCAACAAGACTTCAAACTTTTATGGCCAATGAAAAGGATCGAAAGGACCCGTGTTATGGCACGCAAACGAAAGTTCTTTGATGCTTGAAACGTTCTTTCATGTTTTGATCAATCAAAACTGCGTTTAATTATTCAACAGCTAAAATAATATAAAATCTAAATTGAGGCACTGTATGAAACAAAAATGTGTAATACAGAAGTGTCGGAGCTCGATGATTATATAATCATCCATTCCAATCCATCTAGTCAAGAAAAAACGAAGAACAAAGAGTTAAGATGCATAGCTGAGCTTGTGATCGAAAGATACAAATAATTATATTAGCACCGGTAAAAGCAATGCCTCCTCAATGTACAAATCAAAATAAAATCATTGAGTAATTAAGTAAAAGTACTAATGGAGTCTACAGTTATTCAAAGTACGGCAAGCCATTTAAACCTCAGAATATCACAGGGCATGTCAAAGCATGTGCAAAAAACTGATGCAAGAAAAATAGAACTGAAAGTTGAGATTGATGAAAAAGCTAAACGCCAATAGCATGGTATATGATGAGTGCTGCTGAAATCGACCCATGTGGGATGGAGGTAACATCGGAACCCGATTACGACTGCATGTACTCTACAGTGAAAGAGCGAAATCGGCAATGCTAGATTTCTGCGAACTTTTTAAACTTTTTTATTTGATTGTTTGTTTCTTCAGTTTTTTGATTTTTGCTGTTGTTTTATAAATAAATTTACACTTGTTATTTTTGCAGATCTTTATTTCAAAAGTATATAAATCCATCACAAAAAATATAGCGCTTTTCACGCACATCCGAGAAAAAAATAGATACATGCCTGCTTGTTCCATACGTACAAGTTTCTTCAAAAAAATATACATATAAGAGAAAAATAAGAGAAAAAATATTAACGAACATATCGAGAAAATCTTGACTATATATATCTGACAACTTCAACAAGTCTAGATACGCTTTTGATACATACTTAGTCTGGAGATTACGATGCTGTTAATTGATTAATATCAACCAGCAATTGTTTGACGTTGTTCACATACTCAACATCGCTAATGTTCACACAAGTTACACGAAGACGTTGTTCATCCTAGGAAAAACAAGAGTAATTTCTGTATTTTCAAAATTTATAGCACTTGACGGTATCCATGTTAGAAAAAAGTGTTGAGTTCAAAACATACTATATACTTAGGAGCCACCGAGTTTTCACTTTCTCTAGTATCAGGCTCAAAAGCCGTCTCAACTATTTCACTAGAAAATTTTTTGCATGCATGGTGCTTTACAAACTGAATAAGCTAAAAATACTTACATTATAATTATCAATTTTGATACGTAATTTGAACATTTTTTCATTATTTTGTGCTTTTGTTACAACGGCATTTATTGCTTCTTCATCATTCTAAACAAAGACATTTAATTTTTGATAGTGACTATTTTTCTCTTATTAATTGAACCTACATTCGATTTCATTTGACCAAATTCTTCAGGAGTGATACCAAACAACGCTTCAGCTTCATTACGAAAGAGTGTTATCCATTGTGAACCCGTACTATCGGATATTTCAGCCTATATTAAACGAAGAATACCAATAATTGAAAATGAAAGATTGGTAGGTGTACTTACATTTGCCATATATGACCACTTAAAATTTTCGTGACTAGCATTACATTTTTCACATCGAAATGTACCATCTCCATTATCAATTACTTTTTTACTACAATTCTCAGCTGGACAAGACTTAAAAACACAAGAACAGATGAGATATCCATTCGATTCGTATCTGAGAAATCAGTTTAAATTACCATATAAACGACACTATCTTTTTTGATCATTAAACAAATTGCTTTACACGTGATGTAATCCGGTTTATCATTGGATCCAAGTTGTTCACTGGTTATTTGTCCGATTGTTTTGAACGGAGCTAGAATGTATATTTTTTTCTATAGCAATAATACACTGAACTTTTTTTCTTTTCATTTTACTTACTCATTCGTTCACGATCTGTTTTTGTTGAGAGATCTTCAACATCCATTTCAAAACCTTCATTATCATACCAAGTTCTTATTTCATGTGCTTCTTGAATATTAGGATTAATTTTAACAATAGAACTTTGTAGACATGACAATGTACGACCTATATTCAGGAATGGAAAACATAAATTCAATCCACAGGATAAAAGATGTCTGTTAACTGATGAGAAAAAGTCTGTTAATTTGTGCACTTTCGTTGCGTTGGAAAAACGCACGTGACTGAATGAAAGTTTTATAGAAATTCAGATAAATATCAAAATTTTTTAATTAATTTTTTTTCTAGCTCTTATTTTTATTTACTGTGCCAACGTCAAAAACACCACTCTTCATAATGTAGAATAGTAAATATCTTAGAAACAGTCATAATGAGTCAGGAAAGAAAAGAAATTCAAAAAATTTTGATATTCATCTGAATTTCTATAAAACTTTCATTCAATCACTTACATTTTTCCAGCGTAATGAAAGTGCACGAAGTAAGAGACTTTTTCTCATCGGTCAAGAAAATATGATACACTAACTTACCATTAAAATCTGATATTTTAGCACCTTTAATTGCGAGCACCGGATTGGATGAACCATCAAATTCTTCAGCCTAAAACAAAACCGTAAATGCGAAATGTTTCATACAACAAAAGAAAATACATACTTGTTGTCCCCATAATGTCACGGAAAGTTTCGCCTTGTCATCCATTAACAATATATCTCGTTTAGTAAATTCTTTTTGTGATTGTTTTCCAACAATTCGTTGGATATCTGATACACTTTTGACTATACCAATAACATCTTTAGATAACGAAGAAAAAAAAACAATATTCTCAAAACATATCATAAATAACAACTATAGAAGTTGCGAAGTAGCCATGTTCAGCGTAAAACGATGTTGAATATATCTTTAATACAGCCTTTTCAGCTTCATTAATGAAACTAAATAAAATCTCGATCAACTGACAACAGACAATCTTTAAATTCCATGGATCAAAAACAAAGCTGGTGATCAACGCGTCGATAAACCCATCCAGACTTTGACGCTATCTAAACTTCAATTATTACTTCTATAATAATATTACTCAACAGAAGCTAGTTATAACAGAGAGCAGCTAGTATCCAACTCAAGAACACATAAAATTAAAACCATGACAAATCAACAAAAAAAGTTAAGTGAATTTACATTATTAGCCGTCTTTCAATCAAAAAAATGTATATGCATCACTCGCCAAATGACTAAACATTTACAAAAGTTTTGTACTAATTTCTTATCATAAAAAAGCGCGTCTGACATACCGACAATACTATTTGGATCTCGTTGAGCAATTTCGGATATTGGTATGAAATTAAATTTTGTTTCTGGAATTTGTGTTTGTTCCGTACACGCCTCAATTAACGTATCGTGATTGAATGTCATTTCATAATCATTATTTGTTTGATTATATTGTTTATTAGCTGTTTTCAATGTGCCTTTTGTTATATAATATACCTTCAATAATCATGATACGTCAAGAGTAATACCAATAAAAATGTTTAGTCAAATCCTATACATACATTACCAATTTCTAACATTGGAAAAAATTTATCACAATCACTACCAAATGCTGTTGCACGTATTTCACCAGTTTCATCACATAAATCACAACTAAATAGTTGTCCTTTACCACGAGCATTTTCCCATGTCCTCACAGCTGTTTTATTTGTAACGCGTGCCCTTATTGTCCATCTATAATGGAAATTGAGACAGTAATGTAGATTCATTCAGATAGTTAAAATTGTTCGTACTTATTTTGATAAGGATTTAACATGTCAATGGTAAATATTCGCTCTGGTTTTGTACTATTACTATTGTTATTATTAGTATTATTAGTATTGCCACCTTTTTTGCCATTAACAAGACGGTCTGCCGTTGGTAGTACATTCGATCCTTGACGAATAACATTTGTTTTTGATGCTGGAGCTAAAACAAAAACCATCATGTTTTATTAACGAAACTTTTAATCTTCAAACTACCTGTTGTATTCGGTACTACAATATCATCTTGAGCTAAATAAAATCAAATGCATTGAAAAATGGAACAATGGAAAAATAATCACATACGTTCAGATTTAGTCGGTAAATTATTATTTGAAATATTAGTTAATGGTAATACAACAGGATCGCCGATTTTGTCAGCTGTGCTAACGACCACGCTTAAATCGGCTATCATAAGAACAAACCTAGATGCATAAAAAGAATTCCATGATGCACTTTTTCGTACACTAACAGTATATTATATAACGATCATTCTAGTAACAAGAACAAGAAATGTGCTGTAAGTGGAAATTTTCTGAAAAAAAAATCATTTAAACAACTTTATTTTTATCGGTGCTTAGACCAGAATGTATGCTCGCTTTTTATGCAATAATTAATCAGTTAAAGAATAAAATCCAAACGGAACAGATTTTTATTTGATAAAAATGTCAAAAAAATAACTTGTTTTACTTACTTTCCAGCTTGGCGGTCAATAACATTACACATACATTTCTCAATGCGAACAATTGAATTTTCTTTAAGTTCACTATTATCGATCAATGAATTTAACTGTGATCCCAACATACATGCTATATTTAAGAAAGAATAAAAAATATGTCCAAGATCAGATCAAATATAAGATATGTCATCATAAGCGTACATGAAAATGTATTTTTGCCATCGGATAACATAAGACGGTATCGTCTATTTTGATTATCTTCTCCAGCTTTATTGTCGATCAATTTCATTCCCTGAGAGTAAAAGTTTCGTTAGCACAGACAAGGAAAAGATTAAATTAGGATAGATATGCTTACTAGAACCTGTAATGTAGCTTTTTCTTCTACATTACCACGTAAATAACGCTATAATTTAAAAAACACGCAATCTCACAGTAATAGTTCAACAGATTTTTTTCCTTACCAAAAGGGCGCCAGTTGAAAGACGTGCCATGATCAAAAGAAGATTGAAGAACAAGAAAGAATCTAGAAAGGGTAAAAAATACTCGTGCTAAATTAAGTAATACGTATGAAAAAAAGATTGAAATCGGGTCAACACCTTAATTAAATTACTATATAAATAAACAAACGTTCAAAATAAAACCACAACTAATATTGACAAATGAAATCTCATAAATAAAAGAAACAAATACAAACAATTACACAAAAAAATGTACAACACTTCATAAAAGCCAAAACGAGTTCTATGATTTATTTTCAATGCCACTAATTGCACTATTTTATAACTATGTATGACTGACTACAGCACTTAATAAGAAACGATTAACTCCCATTCTATCATATCACATAGAAGAAAAGTAAGAATAAAAATTTTGGCAAAAGATCAAAAAGTTTTCCACAAAGTTACGACGAAGACTGAGATCAGTGTATTCACGGAAAGTGGGAGTCATCAAAGATCCCCGACCTGTAATAACAATGAGTCGAGCCAAAGTACAAAAATGACATGACCAGAAATAAACAAAAGAAAAACGAAGCTAGAGTAAGTATAGAAATTAAAGAACGATGAAGTTCAACACGAATAAAATAACATTAAGAGAACAATTAACACGACTTTATTATGACTAGAAACATGCCTAAATTTTACTGTAGCAATATATAGTAATAATTACAAAAGTAAACACCTGTAAGAGATACTGAGCTAGTGCTTCATTACCTCTCTGATTAATTCAGGAAAATAAGAGTCATCAAAGGTCCACGACTTACAATAACAATGACTCAAGCTAGGTAACAAATGAGTGACGATAGGTAATGAATGAAATAAAAAAAGGCAGACAAAAAAAGCATGAACTAGAAATAAATAATCAAACAAAATACCGAGAAAAAGTGACTAGCACAGGCCTTTTTGACTAATAACACGGCTGAATTTTACTGGAAGTCGAACAACAACATCTGAGTGAATTTTGCTCCGTTAAGAGAAGTGAAGGCCAGTAGAAAGGAGAAACATATTTCAATATAACGCTCTTGTTTAGAGCAAAGTGAGTCCGCTTTCTTATCTCAGACACGTTCAAAGACGTCTAGAGAAAGTGAAACGTTGGAGTGCATAGGTCTGCAGTCGGCCGCGAAAACAAAGGCTCAAAACGAATCGTGTGTATAATATTAATTGTGCCAACGCAAAATGTGCGTGATATGAATTAGAACGTTTATGCACAACGATTTACTGATACTACGTGGTATACTGCAGGTTTCTCAATCGAAATTTTCCGTCTCAAAGTGCTCATAAAACGATGTTACTAAAATTTTCGATTATATTCAGCAGAGTGTCACTGGTTATCATTTAGATTGGTTAATGGTTTACATAATGAAAAGATGTCTGTTCTCGCCATTTGTGCATGCCGCTTATTTCTCTTGTATTTGTTGCATTTCTTGTTTTAGGATAATACACGAAAGTATCCTTCAGTTTGAGAAAAGTTTTCTGTCACGTGCTAGAGAATAGAGAAAGAAAATTGCTTACATGAAATAACGAAAGATGAAAGTGTTACGCCCGCCCAATCCCAGAACAAGAGAGTTTGCGTGTTGGATGTTTGTCATAACCGAAATAAAGTGAACGTTGTTACTGGAATCTTGAAGATGCCCCAGACAGATTGTATTGATATTTCAGAATCCGCAAGAATTGTTAAATCTGCGAAATAGACAGTCTACTTTGATCTATTAGAACAGCTTGCAAAATTTGCGGAAACGATCAAAAATATAATCACATTCAGTATCATTTAATCAGCGGCGACTATTCGCATCTAAGGATTTGAGCCATAAAGCTCCACCTGTTATTTTATACCACCTATGAAAATTTAATATTTTCCAGTTTTCCAGTGTAATTAGTCCTAAAAGCAATAATAAGCTAGGGTGTATGTACTATATTCTGCTGCGAAGTACGAGGTATTTAGCAATGGTTAAATCCTAAAACGTTCCCATCTCTAAAACCTATAGCGTCCAACTTTTGTATTTCTATTTTCAAATATTAACAGAACCACTGCTCGGTTCCCCACAAAGAGGACTTCGTCAAACGTTACTTCTGCTCTTTCGATCTAGCTCAGCTTCACACGGTACTATAAAATTTTTTAAAGATGTGCCATCGCATTTTTTTATTTGAGGCATCATGCCTGCAACATACCATAGCACAGACCCCGCTGCATGGAGTTTCTTGAAGTTTTTCAGTATAATTTTCCAATTAGGCTGTTTTTGTTAAATAAGCGGTCTTTTTACATATTTCGTTCGATGTTTTTATCCATTTATCTCACTTGATTACTAATTGCACTGTTTGTGTATTCATTCGAAGATATACTCTCTGCTTTACGAAACAATTCACTTTTACCACACGCTGCACGTCGTCACGAACAAGCAGTATTAACACTTTATACTCTAAAATCATCAGGTGGACAATTGAGAATCGAAGAATGATAGCGGAACCTCAAAAAACGGCCAGGTATTCCTGAACATGTTTGTCCAAAGTATATTCCTCAAATAGCAATTGATCCAGTCGAATACGATCAAATGTGTGAACGATACGTTTCACAAAGCAATTTATGGAAATATTTATCATACTTTGTTGCCATTCCGGCTATACTCCTGTTAACTTATTTGAATTTGATTGTACCACAAGATCACGAACGTTCCGAATTTAAAGAAATGATTGTACCAAAAATGAAATGGTTTTTTGGTACAGTCAATTTTTACTTTATTTTCAGCGATATACGGTCATTTTAAACTTTCTAACTTTGTCTTGGTGAGAAAGCCGATTGATCCAGTTTTTTGCACTTATGAGAAATATTATAATCGAAGACGATTTAGCGGTTCTATTGGAATGATCGAAATACATGGAATTAATAAAATCATGTTTTATTTTAGGTAATGGAAAGCATTCACCGTTTTTCAGCAAATGGTTTAATGCTGTCGGTTATAGGTGGGTTACGAGACGACTGATGAAGAATTTGCCGAATATTTTCATGGACACGAAAAAAGAGATCATAAAAACCATTCAATGACTAAAAAGATAGCTAAATTTTACTATAGTAATATATAGTAATAATAATGAATCGGTGGGTGAAAGGCCACCCGCTCAAGATATTATTTATCATTTAGAAGACTGATGAACAAGTACTTGTTTTTGCTTTTCGAACACGGCATTCGCAACCACTCCTTCAATTCATGATAGTAGATTTGTTCGATTGTAACATGCACTTTTTCTCTTGTTTTTGTAAGTATTCTTCGACGAAAATAAATTATTTTTTTTATATAACAATTTGTTGTTTTTCTTCTCCAACGTAATATATCAACAAATGTATGAGTTTTTAGTCATTCAGGTGTTTGAACGATGGCAGCACATCAGAGCCTGGTTCAAACAAAAGGTCTTGGAAAAGCACTTCTCTTCAGCCAAAACTAGAAAAATTAAATTGCTCTTGCTGAAGTGAATTCTTAAAGCTCGCATGGAAACGTTCACAAATATCACAGGATTTTGACAGAACATCTCTCAAATAGTCAAGTAAACGATGCTAATTACTTTCAATTGCCATCGTTAGATGATTGCTGAGTTAGGAAACTACTGTTTAATTTTGAAAAATGACTCATTTTCAGCCGATCATATTATTTTATGCATACATACTAAGTTCCAGTGTTTCTATATTTTAATATCTATAATTATCATAATTATGAAAAAACGTTTAGTGATTGAAAATGAGGCTGAATGAGTTATTTTACTTCGTTATTGTCGTCCAGTAAGAGATATTACTGTGATTATTCAATTAAGTAGGTAATAACTTGATGTATCATATAATAACTTTTCGTGTTTTTACAATAATCATTCATTATTTGTTCGTAATTTTAGTACTAGAAATGATTTTTGTGTCATATTACACAACCCAGACAAGAGTTCTTTTTCCCGCCAGTTATCTATTGGTTTTAAAAAAAAAAATGCACAACGTTGATTATTGCGCTTGAAAACATAATATAAAACAGATCTGGCGACACTAATACTGTGAACGTACTGTTATTCATGAGACATTTATCTTTTAAAAATACTTTATGCTCTATCAAACAGATTTCCGACTACTGTGAATCTATCGAAAGCATTCTTATTGCTCTTATCGTAATTTTTTTCCATAAATACACTGTTTTCAATAATCACGTTAAAGTACTTTCAATTAATATCAACCTATAACGATAATCATATTATTTATCTATGAAGAAAGTAGTGTTGAATCTTATTTACATCGGAGATGCGTCAGTGAGTAGGATCTGCATATACAAGTACTATACGCACATTTTTATTTTTATTTCTCATGTTTGTTTCCGCGGACGCTTCCAAAATCGTGAAATGAATCATTTGTTTTTCTTTTCCTTTTATGAGTCAGCTACAGAAAAGATAATTTTTTTCGTTTAAAAGCATTTATTTCTTGATGATGTGTCATAATATAATAATACCACAGGAGAAAATACAGGCCGACTTATTTTTTCTGTTTTATATAGTAGTAAAAAGTATAGCTAGCTATCGAGCGAGCATAAGCGAAAAAGCGTCATTTTGTTTCTTTACTGATTCTGTATTACACAAGCAACGCGTGTGTAAAGAAAAATGGAATATTTCACAATAATATATTGTGTATTGTCACTAGAATTGAGGATTTAATAAATGATTGCTGACTAGTCTAAAAGAAATTTAAAAATGCTAGGTAAGCGTTATTTGAATCTGATAAAGTCGGGTTCTGAATTACAACCTAAGGGTAACGGTACAAATATTTGTTCCCTTTGAAAGAAATCGATCGAGAATATTAATGAGGAGTAGTCACTCAGAAAAAACACTTATTCTCATCAGAGACATTTTTTGTCGATCAGAACTACCTGACTTTATTTGGATATTATTTATATAGGACAAATGTCTGACACATTTTAACAAAGCAATATTTATTGGATTATACATTTTTTACGTGTGCGATTTTTCTCATCACCTTACGCGTTTTTGTTTTTGGAGTTGTATACACGCTGCTTTTTCTTTTCTTTTTGCATATTCATGTTGTTGTAGTAGTCGTAGTAGTAGTAAAGCAACGTTTTCTTTTTAACTTTCATTTCTTATTCCAGATTATGCTTATTCACAAGCAAACAAGACTATCACGTTCTGTTTTAACATTTAAGAGCACTAAAAAAAGAGCTCATCTTCATTATCATCATAATTATTTATCAACAGCAATAACTACAGATCATAATAAAAATCACTTTAATTACCTACAAGACGAAGAAATTCAAAGATATCGTTTTATAACCACAACATACGATTCAACCGAATGACGAATTTTTAATTTGACAGAGAAAGAGCAAACAGGGTAAATTAATCATATTTTTTTCGAGAAATATAAACGTGTAACGTTAAGATTAAAAATCAAAGATACTGTAAAAAGAATGATTATTCGCCGAACTATTTGTGCTAGACAAGCTGAATTATATAATAGTGAAAGTTTTAAATGAGATTAACTTCTAATTGATTCTAACAGACATACTCAGCTTATATTTTTGGTTTATCGTCAGATGATATCAGTTCATTAATAGCTCAGAGTTTTGAATTTGCATTGATTTCATGTCAATCTATTATCGTATTTAACAGTTATTCTTTTTAACATAGTAAAATTATTTTTTGTTTGTTTTACTTTTAGAAAATTTCTATTTCTATTTTTTTTTGAAACCATACATTTGATTATATTTTGTACACTGGACAACAGCAAAAATGACAAACAACAATGATAATTTAGATGATTTTTTCAAAAAAAAAGATAAAAAGTCTAAAAAAAGTACAAAATTGCAGTTATTAACGAATAATGAAGAATTATTAAAACAACTCGTAGCAGTTACCACACATGAACAACAAGAGTTCGATGATGACGACATAGACTTACCGACTATAGCCGTAGAACCAATTGTGAATCATCCTTTAGCATTATTAACAGAGGATATAATCGATGAACCAGATTCTGTGGTAAATATATCTTATTTAAAATCCACATGAAACATAGTTATATTACCGTTTGAATTGTTGCTCTTCAACTTGTTCTTTGCTTTGCCTTAAATTAAAATTTACTTTTCTATTCTTAATCTAGAACGCTGAAGTTATAACAGAAGATAATCGTACAGTTATTGTTAATCCGCAACCATTTGCACCGACGAAATATACAAATTTCCCAGTGAAAAAGAAAGTATCGTCACAACAATCAAAAACTCCTACAGTCGATTCAAAAACATCGACAACGTCAAATCAGGATGATGAATGGGAAGAGTTTCCAGAACATGATAAAGATTACAATCGACTGCGGTTGAAGGTTCAAGGCGAGTAAAGTTTCTTTTAGGTTCTTCTAGATTATTTGTCGATATAGTTCTTTGTGTTGTTCTTCAACACAAATATAGCTTAATGTCGTTGTATTGGATTCTAGGAATATAGCAGGTTCGTAGCACATAGTAGAGAATACATACTGTGCCTCTATATTCTAAGATTATGAAATAATTTTTTATATGTTCATCGTGTTTTTTTGTGAAAGTGATCTGTTGGTTTTGCTATTAATACTATTTTCATGCAAATATGGGTGATTGATTAATTTAGTTTTATCTCGATTTTTAGGTGATCTGAATGCTTGGATTGCTGACCAAGACGATAATGACTATTACTATGCGGATGAAAATCAGAGCGAAGGAAAACGAGATCAACCAGAACAACAACAAAAACCTGCATGGAAATTAGATAACCTTGTTAATAGTAATGGCAATGAACAACACCAACAACGCGAACAGGGAACAAAAATTAGCCCGATTATCGCAAGTGACAGCGCAGAAAAGCAACAAGTAGAACCAGTAGTTGCTAAGGGAAGATACATTGCACCACATCAGCGTTCAGGTGCGAGTATTAATACAGTTGAAAAACCCCATCGTAAACCATCATCAAAAGTTCTACCTTATCTTCAAAGTACAGAAGAGTTTCCTACATTGGCATCAGCAATGACAAATATGAAATTAAATGAAAAAAATAAATGATAAATAGTGAACACTTGGTGGTGTTGTTGTTGTTGTTGTATGCTACTGGAAAAGAGTTGTTTCTGTTTTATTATTTTTTTTTCAAATGTTACCTTTTTGGGTTTATGTTTGCTTTCCTTTTCCTCTTTTGTTTCTCTTCTGTTTGTGGTTGTTGAAGATGTTTTAATAGCTTTTGCTGCACTCGTACTTCCATCAAGATAATTTTTTAGGAACTATTTATATAGTATTCAAACTTAGTATCTACTTGTGACTTAAGCAACTTAGTCAAATTGTTTGTATTGTGTTTAATACATCCATCAACTGTCATTGTGCTTGTGAATAACGCCGGTTCAGCTGTCACACTTAGACTTTCTTTAGTATGTGATTACATTAACTGGTTGCTATTTTGAAGCTCCTGTGAATTTTTATTAATGAGAGCATGATCGATCTCTTTTCTTCTCTATCCATGTGCGTGACATACTTTAACGAGTTACCACTTTCCCAGTAAAAGTTACATTTCTTTCTGAACTACTAAAGTGACTTTTTGCGTTTTTCACACATTATTAGAGCGTTTTTTTCTCAAAGATTACAGACGTTATTGCCAGCGAAACTATGATATTATCACGTTTAGATTAAAACTAGTTCTAATCAAGATATTTGCAACAGTTATCGTGTTTTATTTTTATATTTTTTGGTATGTAAGAACTGATTTATTAAAATTGCAAACTAGCTATCACGATGGTGAGATTTTATCATGCTTTAAGTGTTACGTGTGTTTGTTTATTTTTTGTTTTTTGTGTTCTGTTCGGTATTCACTTTTTTGTTTGAAAAATATATTATCTAATAAGTTGAATGGATCGATTTAGTAATCTCCATTGAAAACAACGATGTGTCTCGATTTTTGTCAAAGGAAGTTAAAATCTCGAGGATAATTAGCGAGAGATGAGTCAGTTTTTATATCATTTAACCCTTCACATTTTTAAGAG